AGCAATGCTATATTGCCATCCAGCTTTTATTGTCCCCTTTAGATAGTCCATTTTAATCAGTGCGAACATCGTACTTGTGTGTGTATTTGTGTGGACGGAATTGAGGACATATTGCCAACGTGTCAATCCGTGCCACTTGTGTCCAGAAAATCAAGCAACTAGGTGTACTAATACGTCACCTCCCTCCCTCTCTCCCACCAAAGGAACCACAGATCTGTCTGAGTGCTTCCGAATCCGGAAAACCTAAGTAGCCTTTTTGAACAAGAGTACTGATATTGATGACCTGCATTCATTCAAAGTTAGTCTACCAAATTTGGAAATGGTTTCCCGGACATTCCATTATGATTGTGGATATTTGGTCCACAGAATTGCCAAGATGTCGAGCAGATGAATAACCAAACACCAATCATTCTAGGTGAATTCTCCTTTGGACACGAAATCTTTAGATTCTCGAGTAGATCAGTTCACTAATAGTAGTAATGAGTTTTGTAGCCAAACACATTAGCATATAAGCCTTCATGCTTTCTAGGATTGATGGTAACAAGACGACCGGATTGCGTGGATCCTGTTCTTTTCGATCAAAAGTTGATTCATTTGATCCAAGTCTCAAGTATGTCAATTCAAGCATGAAACTGCATTTTTGATTCGAATGTCTCATTATCAGTAATTCGGCTCACTTTCAGCCAGAGTAACTAATAGTCGTCTATGTTCCTACACTGATTTATGGAGTGCCCTATGTGCGTCACCACTTACGATAATCACTTGAACGGTGTCGCCAATGAGGTATGAGTGAAGCCTCCTATGTTCCGACAAAACATACAACGAGCCTTCACAGTTCACAAAATCGCTTCCTTCAGTGTCTACATAACACTTTTCATACATGCGGGTCAAATTGTTTCTCATAGTAAAGGTGTACATTGGAGCGCACCATTAATATACTTTGGGTAGCCTGCATATCTTATTTTCCATTATCCGGAAAGTGAAGCCCAGACCCAAAACTGTCGAAATTGTTCAGGCCGCTTAATGTTTCTCAGCTTAGCTTGGAAACGGCATAGTCATGCAATGGGCTAGAGGTTCGTGAGGTATCCCTAGCATGGTACGTCGATACAACTTTGGTTGATGGCGTGCTCCGATTTTCTAGTGCAAGAAACCATGACCAACTAATCACCATGATCATCACTGTCAGCTGTAATAACCGCGTACTCGTCGTACAGTGGTTGTAGCTGCCGCAGTTTCGTTCACCGATGTTTTGGAGGGGGATAGGTACAGTGGGCTGTCCAGTGGGGGGTGTTGGAAAAGGAGCTATGCATTGAAGGCAATAGCTTGGATGCACAAGCGCCATTGAGGGCACGACTGGGCCATATCTGACAATGTCTCTAGCCATTGATGTGGCCCGTCTCGGGGTCCCCATCCAGGAAGACGGCAGTGACCAGCGCAGCTGAGTTTGCTGGTAATTGCTTTCATACTTCGCTGCCAAGTCATTGTTTGACCGCCTCTGGCTCTCTTTCACCCTTCACGTGGTTGTGCGAAAAGAGCCCTTCGAGGAATTCGGTCGACTGGCATACGCAGCACGTGGCCAAGCCAACGCAACCTGTGCAGTGTGATCAGTTCATCTATCGAGGGTGAGTTATTTCTCCCGAATACAATTCGACGTACTTCAGAATTGCTGATCCGGTGTTCCCACCAGATTCGGGCAATGCTCCGAAGACATCGAGGCTCAAACACTGAAAGTCTTTTGACGTCCTCGGCGCGCAGCGGCCAGGTTTCTGATCCATATAGTAATATGGAGCGCACCGCAGCACTGTAAACCCGACCGCCTACGCCACAGGTGACGTAGGTTCGCAAAAGCTGCTCTGGCCTTCCCAATACGGATGGAAATATCATCTTTCGCGGGACCACCGGGACTGATACAGCTGCCCAGCTGCTACTACCTCAATCGGTTCATCCGCAAGCACGAGGCTAGGGTTCGAGCCCACCCAATCTTGCAGTAGCACTTTACACTTTGCAGGTGCGAAGCGCATGCCGAACCGCGAGGCAGAATTATTTAGATTATTTAATATTGTTTGCATTACAACGGGATCAGATCCCAGAAGAGCTATGTCGTCTCCGTACTCGATATCTGTGAGCGGAGTCCCAGGGAGCACTTCGACTCCACAGGCATGACCATATAGCTCCCTATGAAAATCACCATGTGGATCCGAAACGTTGGCATCATTAACCACCTGATTGCTACTTTCCCACCGGATCGTATGTTGGGGTCACCGATTGGCTTTGATAGACATTTTCCTAAGAACATTACCGTATTGTGTGCCGGAAGCAGCTGACACATGATGCTCACACGGCAATGTTGATGGCAGTGGAATAAGTTGTGCAATTATTTGCTTTTATGTCCACAACCAATTTTCCATTCATGTCGGATCCAGTGTTAGCAGCTTCCACTCAATCTTCGTAAACCGATTTCATTGATGCGTAAAGTGCGCATGACTGCAGACCAGTCACTCGTGGCCAACTACTGAAGGAAAAATGGCAGGTTCAAACATATCAAGGACGCTCTCCTGTGGAGTCCTTGTATTTTAGGGAACCTAATTAGTATGTGTATTTTCTCGGAGAACCGTACTACTCATAGGCTGTTTGACAGCCCACAATCGGTTTAGCTGTCCTTGGGGCGGAACGCACTAATTTGCAAACTATGATGGTGTTAACGAGTGGATCAAAGTTGAAACTCTCGTTTATGTTATTTTTCAACTAATGTGCTGCACGAAGGTCAACTCATATTTCAGGTGGCGGAATAAGCTGGGATTCAGTGGGGATTCCTGTTAAAACCTATTTACTTTGTAAATAAATGTATTTAATTAACGTGTTCCTGAGTAATCGGCTTCAAACATGCGTTTTAAGATCAATGGAACAACCTGATAAAAGTGAGTTCTGATAACTGATATAACAGTAAAGGGTTTAAAAAGGTATGTGCTAAGTTGAACAGCAAATAAACACTCCACATCTCCACAAAGGACGAGAATAGACAGCAAACGGCGCTGATTTTTCTCGCCTGAACAATGCTGAAGTACCGCCCGCAATTCAGTTGAAGCATACTTAACGGGAAAATGCGCCAGTGTCAAGAAAACATTAAGCAGGATAGAACTTGTAAAAATGTCTACAGTTTTAGAAAACTTTCGAACTCAAGGCCGTGTTGGATTGCCCACTCTAACATCTTACATATTCGTAAGAGCTTTCTAGGTGTCCAAGCTCACTCAAAAACCTGATTACGTCGAAGACGCAACCGAATGATGCTTTTTTAGCCACGTAACTGATCGAACGATGACTGAATGCACAGAAGCGGCCATTTATGATGAATTAACGCAGTTGATTGATCTGGCTAAGCGCAGGAAAATAAGTAGTCTAACAAGTATACTAACGCCTACAGAACAACCTGACAAACCTAGCTCATCACAGGCATTTACGTGAAACAGACTCGCTCAGTAACACAAGAAAATACTTTTAGGTAAAAAACGTCTCGATACGTATATTCAAGATGAAAAACTGATTGATGGAACACTTTTGAGCTCTGTCAGATATGAGACAGTTTATATCTGATACATTACTCAACTATTTGGGATTTCTTATTTCCGAGGTTATTTGTGGACAAGTGGGCAAGTGAGCCCCGGTAAGACGGTTATGCGCCTCTACTGATTGATCGATGGTGAAAGAAATATTCACTGGCTGAATGAGAAGTGGTCGTCGGTCAGGTGCTAACTGTGTACACCTCGAACGTTCAGTGTATTGGCCAGGGATACTCCAGTACTACGTAATACAAGCAATCATCCCTTTGACCTTGCACTGTGTTCCATGAAAAGGTTGGTGAAGGTCAAGAATCACAAGGAATCTACGGAGAAGAGGAACTTACCCAGTACATGACTTGGGTCCAGCCCTCCATGGTGACACACTGAAAGACAGTTAGCATGGAAAGACCAAAATTATCAAAATTTGTGATTCCGAAGTTCGGCCCTGCCCATCGTTCAGGAGTGGGTAACGGTGGGATAACCTTTCCGGCAGCGACTGCATCTGCAATAGCTTGGCGTTCGGCCACCGCGGCAGGACTCATATTCAGCTTGAAGTCGTAACAAATTGACCCACGACCACAAATTTCACTCTGTCTGTTTACGTTGCATGTGGATGGATGATCCTCAATCTCTCCTAGTTCAGAAGAAAGATTGATAGAAAATTAATGGACCCAATCAATGATGCACGAGGATTTCGCACCGATAGCTTTGGCAATTTACGTGTGATACATAACTACTGACTCAAGACAAGTAATGTCAGAAGGATAATAAGTGGTGAAGAAAGAACGAAAGCAACAAACGAAACTGAAAACGATAGAGAATACATGTTTGGACAGAATTTATGACGACCAAACTGATTAGGTTTTTATTGGACACAGAGAAGCGATAGTCCCAATGGTTTGAAGCCGTGATTTTGAAGAGGCTGCCGAATTCTTCGTCACCTAGCCTCCTAAATTCCTTTGCATCGACTTAAAACACACTCCAAATCCGTTTCTCGGAGTTTTCTCCTCTCCAGTTTTTCAGCAAAGTTAAACTTTCCGATAACACTGTGTACAGCTGTTCGGCAGAAGCGATGAAACGAATCTAAGACCAATAAATTGCCATGCGTGATGCGACACGCGAGCAACGCCTGTCCCCAAACGATGAATAATGGATTGGTTTATTGACCGAAAAGCGGAAGTTGGAAGATAACGCTCCGTTATGGAGCATGTCTTGTTGTTGAGTCCAAAGTGGTTATAGAACGGAAGGATACGTTGTGGTAGGCTATGAAACACGTGCGGCTGGATAATCGGGTGAATCTCAAAACGTTTAATCCGTGAGATGGATAAGGATATTAGCCGAAAAATTGGGTTTCGGACCGGGTTGCTGGACATACCCTTCACTTTAGATGCATTGGTGCTGAGCAAACTTAGTTCGTCATGTAAGCAGCGAGGTAGGGCTTAGTATTAGCAGGTAAATAATGGATTCACTATCATTCTCCGGTCAAACAAAGCTTAGATATTTTTATATTTCTCAAAATTTACAGAAGACATTGTATGTTGGATTGCATTTAGTGCAGGGATCGGAAGCCATCTAGCCGTCAGCATCAATGGAACATTGTTTTCAACAGTTTGACCATGCTCTCTGAAACCGTGTGGTAACAGATGGAGAAACTACGAATTATTTTCGAATTCCTGGGCTGGAACGTCAACCAACCAATAATTAACCAAAACAGTCCATACAAACGAGGGGTCAATAGTTGACTGGATACACACTACCTAAGAATTGCAAGCACTCATCTGACTACACTGGTTGATGGGCAGATATGGGTTTCGTTGGAAAGATAAAAAACCGAAGGTTCTCCAGAATCAATGTGCAGTGACGTCTCAGTATAAAAACCCTGCCTTATGATCAGCACCACTGTGATCCTCACCGCTGACCGTCAAATCATTGATGGCACCGATCAGTGGACATGTCGATGTAGGAAACTGTCTTTTAAACGATCTGGCTAAGACCAGGTAAGCAAAAAAGAAGTACTGAGATGCCCTTATGGCGTTGAGAAAAGGTATAGTTATAATTACAGGACGTGACCATACAACCGATAAACGCCATTCACCTCGCACTGTTGCTGCTTTTGATGATAAAGATGGTGATGTGAATCCCAAGGAGCTCTTGAAGAACGCCTAATAAGTGCAACCAAAAACATTGAAATGTTTCAAGATCGCGTACGAATCAGACCAATTACAGACGTAGCCCGTTTTTATCAAGGTTGGTAATATCTTTTTAAGAATTGTGTTATGCACACACACTGAGAAAATGTCTTTGGCAAAGTTTTGTCTACGGGTTACAAAGTGTCAGGTAGACGTGAATCAAGCTTCTGTGATGTGCAATCGGTTTGTGGGCTGCGTGTCTTTCTCATAGCTCGCCAATCACTACCCTTCATGCCACCAAACACAATAACCCACTGTTTGTCCACCGCCCGTATTATAAAATTTTGAAGTATTACTTATGAATCGGCCGAGGGCCTTGAGCCTTGAGCTAACAAGCTTGGTTCTCCACTGACTGAACAGAGTTGCCTTTTCATCGCTGAATTAGTTGAAGCAGAGACTACAGATTTGTAGCTCTGTATAAATAAATATATATGTATAAATATATGTTGTATGACTCAGTCATTTGAGGACTCGGCAGCTGTTGAATTGCCCGTGACTGCCTATTCCCAAGTCTCAAGTCCGATTCTAATCCACCAAAAAATGCTAGTCATCCATACGGATTTGTGGTACTTGAAGATGATGTGTGATCAGATAGAACGCTGAAAGGATCCTCTTCAAATATGCTATTATATGATGAGTAATAATAGAGAACGTTTCCACAATCAGGTAATCAACCTGGTCACCGAAATCCAGCCACCGAATTCTCAAGCACTGACATACTACCCTTCTGTCGTTCAGTTGCGCCTCAACGAGTGTAAAAACATAGCCAACCACATAGCACCACCAACCTACCTGTGTACACATCATAACAAGTTGCATGCAGTTTGCCAGAGAACAGTTCTAGCCCAATGATGGCGTAGATAATGATCACAAAGATGACCAGCAGAGCAATGTGTAGCAGCGGAACCATGGCACGCATGATAGCATTCAATACGACCTGCAAACCTGTAGAGGAGGAAGAAAAATATGAGTCGCATTCAAGATCACCTCTACGTGACTAGGCTTAATTGTACTCTTTGATGTTAACGCATTGCCATTACAAAAAGCACTTAGTGCCATAAACCTATCAAATCACTTAGGACAATTAAATTTAGATGGCTGGCGAATTAACCGATAACTATTGGGAACACTTACTCCGGTTCGAACGAAAACCTAATTTGATGCACTTATCGTGAATAATGAGCCCGCGGGGCACGAAAGGCGATTGGAAACGAGCTGAAAAATACTGAAATCCATCAAATGGTTCCCTCTGATAGAAACATATTCTTTCGCTCACATGCTTCATAATCTAAACTCGTTAGCTTTAGTAGGATGGTACATCTTGATTCGTGTAATATGCGAAGGATAAGTGTCCGCATAAACCCGGGTTACTGGTAGATCAATGCGGAATGTGAACGGGTCAGTGCATCAAGGTATCCAAGCTAGGAAACAGCAACCTCACAGTGGTGCGGTACACTGCACATATCGCTGCGTCACTGTGTTGAAAAAAAGTATGGTTTCAAGCCGATTTTCTGGAACAGGAAGCAGAAATTCACTCAATATCCTGCTGGAACCATTACACAACCATCGCCGCGAGTTTACTGACGTCCGTCCGTCTTTTCTTTCGATTAGGTATTAGAGTTATGCATTACTTTGTCAGAACTACCTAATTATTTACGTCAATAATTACCCCAGCGTTTCATTCGATCAGGCATGTGATGTGGTTAATGAACCAGTTAGTTCCATTATAAGCATAACCAAGATCCTTGAGGACTTTTCACACTTTTGTATGGTCTGGTTGTGATGCCTAGTGCAGAAGTTGTTGTATGGACTTTACAGTAAAGTCCGACCTGAGGAACACTCCACAGCTGACTTAAGACAACAACAAAGGACTTCCTTTAGCCTTGTTAGGGATCTTTCCTCTAGGTCCTCGCTTTCTTTTCCATCAAAATTCGGTTGGATAAATAGGGAAGTAAGGAATAAATTTTGTTGTTCACCGGATTTTCTGCAATTTTTTGATATTAAGCTCTGGGTCCCTGTGTGCAATCATATCTGGTATACAAGCGCTCGATGATCACCACTCAAGGGTTGTGATTAGTATATGGGATGATTAATGACCTAAGAGTTATGGCTTGATTATTGCTCAAAACTGCTGTCGTTGTATTTCTTAACACTGTTCCTACAGTAGTTTGCACCTCCCGAGAACATAGTTTGTGACAAGTCGATTTAGCTGAGGTCGGTTTCAAACCTGAAGTGGTGCGATATTAAATACTTTGTCCGGACGTTAACATTGGGGTTTTAGGGTACTTTACGAGGGTGTACTGCATAAAAGTGTTGGAGTAACACAAGAAACAACGTGACTTTAATGGCACTACGTGTATTATGTCAAAACTGATATGATATGAACAAGTATGTAGCGATCACCCGGAAGAAAACGGCCATCAGCAGCTCACCACACCAACTCAGAAATTTTGGAACATTTGAGCGCAGTAGTATGGGTTGATGATTATCAGTGTTGCTACAGCTAATGCCGTTCCTATTCGCTTGCAGACCTGTATGGGTGTTGAGTGACCTTTGGTGACGATGTTTGCCGGACCAAACAACTACTGATAGTCTTGTCGGTAGCAAGTACTTGCTGTTTTTATTTACTGTATCAGCATATCTGGGCCAAGACAAGTTTCTGTATGTTAATGCTTACTTGGAAGCCCAGAGACGAGACGTAATGGTCGAAGAACTCGAAAAGCGCGCAGAGCCTTTACGTCCACTCCTGATTCTTCGACCATTTCTTGAATAAGCGGTTGAAGCAACCTACGAAATGGAAAGGAAATAGAGATTTTCCATATTGTGTGATGCAACAAGCATAACATTAAGATGCACTTAAAAAACGAAAGACACTGTGGTTTATCCTGAGTAAAAAGGGCTGTTGACGACTCTGATGCATCATATAAGAAATGAGAGCAGAAATGTGCTGCAACTTGTTCGAATTTTCACTTTCTCCATCCCTTACATATGAAGTGCACACAACAAAGGAAAAAATTGGTAATGAATAGACACTGAATGGTTGATTTCGATATATCGTCCAATAAATGTGCCATTGTGAACCTGTGCATTCAGCGTGCCAACCGTTGAGTACTACAGTTGGATTACTTATACCAAGGACCTGGATGTGAATACTGTTCAGAATGTTGAAGGCTTCAAATTAAAGTGTAGGCAAAACAGTATTTAAGTACCTACAGCGTGTGAACGTTGACCCAACTAACAATGGACTTAGTTGTCTAGCATTAGCATGCGAAGTTAAGTGAACGGTAAACCAAGTACGTTGGCGGTACTTTTTGTTGACTGCAAAATTACGAAAGCAATACACTCAGAAACGTAATTTCTCAAGGTCAAACAAAAAGGAATACGCTGAGCAGAGGGGAAATCCCCGGTGCGAATCTGCTTTCGAACGGCTGCGTTTCCTCTTACACGATGTCTGGATTTTACGAATCCTCTGGCACTGATATCAGCTGCAAGTTGCTCACTCTAGTTCACTGATCTACCCGAAGTATCACAATAAAGAGAGGACACCATGATAACAGAAGCTTTTTGATCTCTACTTGAGGACTGTCCGGGGGTTGCATAGTATTGAGTTTCCTCAAAATATTGCAAAAAGTGTGATTTTTTCGGAGCCAATTGTTCCCAGATTATTCAATGTTCTTCAGTTAAATTTGGTTAACGATTTACGTACAGTGCGACTTATAGCAAACAGTTCTAAATTTTGGCTGTTACTTTACAAAAAACTGTTGGAGTTGTTCGGTAGTCTGACTAGCGTATCTCAAAATCATTTGTGGCTTGGAAGCACTCTCATAAGAATCACCGGCATATCTAAGCCCATCTGGGTAAACGGTAAAGTAATCAACTGGTGATAGAAGCCCGAAAAATTTTTCGGAACCATCCAAAAGTTATCAAAAATAGAATTTTGAACCGAGAATGAGCTCCCTTGCTGGGTGCACATACCAAGCTCACATTGTCGATAGCTCGCAATGCATGTTTTTACCTACCCATTCAAAAACTGTGTCCTGAGTAGAGATTCGCCGTATACGGAAAGAAGAGAAGCGAGTGAAATCTTGCTGTATTCTGTTTTCAAACAGTTAATCTCCTGTGCATTCGTCAAGTACGCTAGTGCTAGTCCTTTAAACAAATTAACATGGTTGTATGACAGTTAATCACACATATTCTCTCTCGCTGTTATTATCAATGATAAGGGTGGCAATCAGTGGGCTGACTGTACCGTATCCACAATGAAATAGTTTACCTAGTCGCGTATAAACCAGAATCGCCAAGACACCAAATAATATATACCAGGTTCAGTTGAATAAAACATGTTATATACTTGGCAAACAACCGCCTGCCGAGAAAACGCCGTTCCTCGTTCGGAGTCCCTGATGACGAAAATTTTGCGACAGAAAGGTTATGACATGAAAGCGCAAAATGAAAGTAATCACATGCAAACGGTGTGCTGTGGCTTTCTAGTAACTTACTGGCTGGGGTAAACGTGACTCTGTTCGGGCGGGGTTAAAAATTCTAAATGAAGCCGCAATTAACCGGTTCGATTGTTAGGCACATTGTTTATCCTCAGAAGCTCTGCCAAGCCAACATGCACTAAGCTTAAGTTGAACACCTCATTCTTGATCGCCTCACCTGTGGGCACTAAGTTTTTTCTATAAATCTTCACGGTTCATTTGGTAGACTTATATCACAAACCCGCCTCATTGAAAGCTTCCATGTGGATGCTACAACGAGCAGTTTTGGGCTGAATACTTCTAAAGAGCACTTGGCTCATGGATGGAACCTTCTTACCAGGGACGAGACTGTACTAGAGGTCTTAAACAAATCAGACGGCGAATGCTCACTTCAAACTTTGTCATGAAGTGCCATCTCACAGAGGAGGAGAAAAAAGTAAGTTTTGAGAGTTGCTGTACACTTAGGGAAAACGCTGCCACTCGAACTGAACGGTATTTGATGTGTCTTAGAGCCTCCAACCTCTGCTTCTGTCTTTTTGTGTGTATGAATAATATTGCCTCAATTCGCTACCACCAACAGTTTTATCAGAATGGTGGTGTAACTAATTATTTTTGATCTTCGGAGTAGTTCCAAAAGTACGTCGAACCAAGAAAACGGACGATGACCTTAATTAGGGTCAGAGGGAAATGCGTTTTTGGACGAGTGAGTGAAGACATTTTTAATTTAAACCCGTTCCGCTCCCGCACACACTCCCTGCGGACCAGGGGAGAATGAAATATCACGTCATTGCATTGTAGCACATTATGGACGCATGGTTGGTGGGTTGCGTTTCTGCAAGTGTGGTCAACAGGAAGGGCGATAAAAAGAACATTAAATTTCGATAAATTTTTACCCAGTCCAGGTTTGACAAGCCACCTCCGATCACAAATATCACAGATACAAGTGAAGTAGGAAATCCGGAGTTCTTGGACCGGTTACTTGTGGAAGGAAGCTAAGCGCCCAATGGGAATGTAAAATATCTCCAAAACCGACTAGTATGGAGGCTAAGTACAGGTAATGAGCTGGAAATAGCTCAGTGACCAGGGAGCAAACATACTAACCACAAGCTCTGGGACTTGAACCCGTCCCTAGCATCTTTACTGCTCTTGTGTAGGCATGGGCAGTCGAGCAGTATCTTATCCCTAGTGTTCCCTTGAGGTTACATGGCAGCTAGGCGACGATACGGTATTATTGTTGATAATCAGTGCATTTAACGGACTGATACGCTGGTAGCAGCACAGGCCAGTGGACTTTAATGTTTTCGACTACTATAAACAAACAAATAGGGTAAGGGTAGACTAGTGCAAAATTCATTTGAAACAGCTATTGAAAATTTTTGCGTTTCCGGACACATGTTTAAACACAGAAGTAACCAGAGGGGCACGAGGTCGACTAACAGTGACGAGTAATCAATTCACCTCACCACATCAATGGCTGATTAGCGGAAGTAGTACAATAGACGGAACTCACTGGTTGCGCATGTGTGCTCATCATCAGTCTTATTTTTAACCAAAGGATTGCAGTACCGATCCTTGTAAGTCCTTGTAAGACCCAACACCTTATTGTCACTGAACTTTCAAGAGCCGATTGCAAATATTGCAATAGACAGAACAAGAAGAGTTATCTGTATTTTTCGCACACCAAAGTTTATAAAGAACTAGGTTGCCAAAACTAATCAGGGAAATAGAGGAAACCTTCTGCTCGAGAGAGGTCTAAATATCATTTTACCTTCCTATTTAATTTCAACATCGACCAAACAAAATCGCAGGTCGATTTAACTTCTTTTGAAAAATGTATCTGAATAGTATCCACTCAGTTAAGCATATGAGGATGTCCAGACCACCAACTACCAACTGGAATCAATATGTAATGCATAGAGAGAGGAAGACCATACGTTTTCACTAAGCCATGAGTCACATTTGGACACATTCAAAACCATTGGAATTCTTTGTGATCTAATTTTACTGCCTTGAAAAAAGCATCTATCTGCGTTGCATTTAGCGGTTCGAAGCTAGCGAATAATCAAAGCGGCGTAGTTACCCGCCGACCATTTTGGCTTATCCGATGGTCTAAGGATTAAGTCAATGTGGGAGTTATCAGTCTGTGGAGCGACTGATAAAACCAATTTAAATGAAACCGGCCAGTGGAAAGAAGATCGCAGAATGTCGAAAATGAGATTGGGTTTTCAATCTATAAACAACAGAAAAATGTGAACTAAAACACAGTCGAAAAAAGCACTCACCCCAAAACAACAATTGTAAAGTCTAGGATATTCCATCCGTTCCTTAAGTAGGCACCACTGTGCATTACGAAACCAAAAGCGACGATTTTCAAGGCACATTCGACGGTGAAAATCACGATGAATACGTTCTCAATTTTCTCCTGTGTTCATGAGATAAATAAGAACAAGTATTTAGAGGCAAGAATAAAGCTCTCCAGACAATGAAAACAGTCGGGTCACTTCTTGGGACCATCCATTTGGCCAACAATATCTCAGAATTTCCATAAACTTAAAATACCTTATCACCAGTACATACGTATCCGTGAAAACGAAGAATGAAGTAGACTGCTTAATGGAAAAATAAATCGCAGTGAAAGATTCCAATTGATTCGTAGAGGTGGTGCTGACAAGCAAGTGTTATCGGTAATACTACCTCCGGTAAGTACCCAGAATCTTACTGATCAGGAGAACTAGCAAAGATGCGTGCTCGTCGACCTATCTTATATAATTCATTGTTTCACCACCACTTCTCCTTCTCTATTGATACTCGATAAGATTGGAGCTGGAGCGCCCAGAGGGTTTCTGTTGATGAGCCATCAAATAGCGAAGCAAGACAATACCGCTCATTGGGCCAGGCGAAACGCAGATGGAAATCATGATGAGGAATGCTTTGGCTCGTGATCTGTTTGCACTATCAGTCACACCTGGAACGTTAAACTTACGTAGACCTTTAACTGGGCAGTGCAACACCCGGTGAAAATACTGGGCGTGTGTGGTACTTCGAATTATTAATTTATGAATTAGGAAAACGACAGGCGTTACTCGAGAAAATCGGCAAGTCAGATTCAGGCTTGGCAGGCCTTTGGTCCCCATATCGGGCTCACTTAAACACCCTTTCCTTGTCTCAAGGTAGGTATTCTGCTTCGACTGGAGGATTAATCAACTGGCCTCGACTTCTTACTCTAGATCTGATCAGCGTACACACACTCAGGTTAACTGACTTGAAAGGAAAGCCTAACATTATTATCTCATTAGTGCATGCTGAACGCGCCTGAGTTTGAACAGACAAACGCGTTCGCTCCTAAAAGATATGTGAGACCTAGAAGGGGAGTTTTTATCTTTAACTCAAACATCTGATGAGACTAATCATCTCATTCCTGACAACAACCAAGCTAAAAGATGTAACTAGAGAAGGGCACTACATAAAAGGTCTTATAGGAGAGGCTATTACAACTAGGTTGTCTTACCACTACAACTGCAGAAAAACATTTCTGTTTCGTGTTTCATCTTACTGTCAGGCGTGTCTGATTATTTACAAACAGAACAATCCAGCGTTCTTCATAAGATGTTTCGCAATCAATCGGAGGGTCTGCTAAACTTTTAGAGTGGACAGTCCCTGTTGAATCTTGGCTCTCCGTCAGGTCCACCAAGGTACCAAGAAATAAATTTCAACATACATATAGGTATTCCCCAAGATACTAACAAGATGAAAAAGGTATAAGGGAAACATATATGTACATGAAAACCTGATCAACATATGACTCATTTGAAAAACTCACAAGAATGTGATTAAGCGCGTTGGAATCCTGGTCCGGATAGGGTGACACCGCCCCCAGAGCACAACAGTTGGCCATTATAGTCAGCAAGATTAGATATTCAAACGGTCTAGCATTGTAAACTTAAGGAATTTGCATCCCGTGTTGGATAAAAATTGAGGCGAGTGCCGAGGATAACGGCATTCTTCAGGGCAGATTTCGCTGAGTTTAGTTGAGTAGACGGAATAAAATTGAGAGCATAAATGGAAAAGCTGAATGATACCTCAGAATTGACAGTAGACACTCTCCATTCCCAACTTATATCAGTTCCATTTTAAAGGTTATGTAAGTGACAAAATCAGCACACCACACCACACATTCTTTTGAGTTGTTCTACTTTAAAAAAAGAACGGACGTGAGAAGTAATCATTCGACGAGTGGTTTGCCTCAATTCATGCCCTCTCTGTAGGTTTCTATGTATAATATAAGCGTACTCGTTTTTCGTTCACCATATTTGTATCTTTAGGTGTTCGCCTGATTAATTCGCTTCTTGTTAGTACCAAATCTGCGAGAAAAGACAGAAAATTACCTGTTCGATTTGTCCAACAATCACGTCTATGAAAGTCTCCAGGCAATGAACAGACCCCATTTCAGATTACGCGAAATGAGTTTTTGTATTTATTGCCGAACTTGATAGCCTCCTGGGATGCTAAAGACTCCGGCCGTATCAGTTCTTCCTTCTTAGCAAATTTTAAATCATACATATGTCAACTTTTGGAGGGAATTACAGGTGCAAGAGACAAAATCGAGTTGGCTAGTTCAGGAGAGAAAAATTTTCGACCATTCTGATTGACCAGTACATAAAATAATAAAGTGGTGTAGGTTGGGAAATGTAGGGCTTCGAGGGAAAACCACCCATCGCAACTATAACGATTTACATGCACCAACTTTGGACGTCGTACCTCATTATAATGGGAAAACAGCCAGCATATCTGATGGTGAGTCATGAGGTTAAAACAGCTTAAGACGTGCACCATTGGGAAGACCTAGGTTTTCCAAGATATCTTCTACGTGTTGCATAGGGTTCTCACAAAAACTAGTGAGCCGTTTGCGTTTTTGAAAGACGATTGTAGTAGTTCTTCACGTGACCCACTAAATGGAGCCCTGCATCATTTACGCCGCATTTTTGTATTTCTTGTTATCGTTGGACTGCACTGCCTTCTGTCCTATACTGAATATCTGTGGTACCTGCAGCATCGGACACCGTAAACAACTGGATTATTGAGACAAGTGTCTCCGCACCAAGTACGAATGGAACTAAGATGAAAGAATGTGGGTTTGTCCTTACTTCCAATAACGAAGAGACTGTATCTTACGGCCGTGGTGGTTGCTGAACCTTCATAGACAACTGAGGCATACCTCGGAACGTGCGTATTACACAGCCTCTCATACAAGGTCCGTCAATGAATGGAAGCCTGACAACAGTCTCCTGGTCCTCTCGTTTTTGGACTACAACATGTGTGGTCACTTGATCCTTACGAAAATAGGCTGCCCCGACAGTCTTACGACAACCAGCACTGCCTTGTGGTTAGGGTTTTGAGCCAAAGACCTTGGTTGAAGGCCCTACTCGTCCTCCTGTCTAGAACTGGGCGCATCTTCAGTATTTCATTCGACGTAAGCTATAAACTGCACTCTTACAAATGATTCCATGCCACATCAGCTGCCACGTGGTGCCATAAACCTGGTCGCTTCACTTACTGCATACAGCAGGTTGAGTAAGCAAATATCGATTATTTCTAACGTCTTCCTTCTTTCCTTTCACATACCCGTTCTTCGCCACCTCCTCACCCCATTTCTAGGGTTATCTCTTAAGGACTGCCAGGTTCGTTCGTCTCCGATGGCCGTTAGCTGTAATATCTACGGTTGAATCAGCCGCCACAACAGTAGACGCTTCAAAATCATCCTTCTAACTCCATCGCTCAGTTAACATGGAAGCTTTTAACAAACAGGACGACAGACTGCTCTTGTATGTACGCTGGACTCGCTTTCTGTTTGTGTGTGCTGTCTGTATGAAAGCATAATTTAAGATTTAAGTACGGTTATCGAAATGACCTTCCCATTGGTTCCAGCTCACTTCTGGTTGCGCACTTTTGGTGATCCGAAAGCCACTGATGCGGGTTCTGCTGGAGTTGGTATTGTTCCAAGCCACCAAGCTGAAGTCCCTAATGGATTGGTTGTCCGTTGATGGTCAACTCTGTGCGGTTCGTTTGACAACATCTGTACGTATCTAGTAAACGAGCCGATAATTGCTGTTGGTTCAATGTATCTGCTTACACCCTAGCAGACCATAGCTCTACTACACTCAAAGAATACTTAAGATGCTTTGGACAGCTTGTTGCGGCGAACTTAAAGCTCATATATTGTTGTAGTTGCCTGGAATATGAAAACGTAAGTGGGCACACTTAAACAGGTCGTTGACTGTCGAAAAATTTTCAAAAACTTTATGAGTAGTGTGTTACGTATATACATGTACCGCGATATCTTGAATATCGTACCAACTGGCGCAGCATATTCAGTTGCCTTGGAACATCAAAACCGAGAGATTCCGCTGGATTCCAGGTGAGTCTCTCGAAAAAACCAAATTAGTTTGCAACTGAGTGTATATTCGCCAATACCGTGCAATTCGGTTCCAAGTAGAACATAGGGCTGACGGAAACTCGGGGACTGCGCCTACCTGATGAGTCCACAAAAGCGCGAAACCGGTCGTGGGCTGCCGATGAATTTTCAGCAACTTTATGATTAGTGTATTACGTTTATAGCCTGAAACCAGTTCTTACAACTCTGTGTCGATTATCTTACGTGAGGCGTGTGGAGATGAAAAAATAACCGTTAGCAGGATTCCAATCTGGAAGGCGCTGTATGGACCATATCTTCACACTCCGCTGTATGATCGAATATGCCCTAGGAAGAACCTTGTTGACCGGGAATATGCGGACTGCATTCTCCTAATTTCTAAAAGCGATCCGGGAGCGCCGCCATTGCTCGAAAGGTTGAGCAAAGTCCTTCAGTCCTTCTGTATTTGTTTCTTTCATCAAAAACGCGTTTTACTGGGTCTCAAGGGACGTGTGCGTCGGACTACTATGCGTGCTGTATTGTTGTACAGCAAGACCTGACCAATTCGAGTGCAGGATCTTAAACATCTTTAGGTCTTCGACCACTAATGTCTCAGAAGTGTTGCTGGGATTGACTGGAACCGGCGAACTCAGAGTGACGTGACCAAGATACGGTTTTTTGGTGAAGCCGAGGGTAATTTCCTACAAGAATGCACCCAGCGCAGCTAGTTGAGGTGGCTGAATAATGTGTTACGCATGATGAGTTATAGTCTGTAGAGACAAGTGCTGTTTTGTCTGCATAGTTTGGTGTAGTGGAAGCCTAGTGGTTGACGGAATCTGACACAATATAGGGGGTGGTGTTTTTGGTGCTATTCGCTTTCCAGGGTGAGGTCCAGCTCACCCGCGCTGTGCTTGGCTGGAGAGATTAAGCGAAATGGCGGCTAACTGTTGTCAGTGGTGTTCATGATGTCAGCTTCTATCCAGATTGTCCGGTTTGGAGCTGAAGGGTTTGGCGCCTCGTACTGACCATAGGTCACCGTCGTCTTCTTTTCTGGATTATAAGGCTTTGTTGAAACAAACTGACATGGTTGTAAGCCATCGAGCACCAGCGTTTTCATCTGGTCTTGCTTTCAGTGATGATGATTACTGATTTTAAGTCAACATGAGATACTTGGTAAAAATTTCAAATTATGGTCCATAGAACACGAACGAACTATAGGACTATCCATTAAAATCCGTGATTTAGAGTAGGCACCACTTCCGCATTGCTATCAAATCCGTCTGTACTGACCTAACTGGGAATGCACAAAATTTCAGTAGCGTACCACACCGAACCCGAGAAGTGTGCTTCAAAAACGCAAACAGATACCAGAAAGTCCAAACAACCATAAATAACATGTGTAGTGGTTCAAACGGTACGAAGTTCTATACCACTCACCTTGGAAGGAATCCCCTAGGACACGGAATCCGTAACGAACCACAATCATTATAACTGTTCAAAAGAATTTTCATATCGACATACTAGACACATAGAAGTATCAGAGACCTTACGCCGTAGGAGTGAGTTTCAATCATAAATCTCTCCCCAACTTAGGAAAAAAGAGATTAGCACTACTGGAGAGTTTACTCGGAAGTCCGAATATCTAAAATCACTCTCGTGAGTGGAAAGGAGAGTGGGGTACTTAAAATAGATAACGTGGTAGTCCTTACCCCTTATAGTTCCCATTTCACTTTTTGAGCGTGCGCGGCTAGCTACTTTGAAGCACTGGTAGACTACATTAGCCTAGTGATTTTACAGTGTCACTCTGTGCGACCCTAAAAGGGATCCAGTGTTTTCTCTGAAATAGGAACGCCAAACAATCTGCCGAAATGTCATCATCAGACAGCCACTTCAGAACGGGAAACATAGTGACCCTTAACTAATTCATCGGAAAGACGTCCAAAGCAGTTTAAAAAGGATACTTCCACTCAACGATTCCGATACACAGTTTCCTCAGAGGATTGCGAAGTGTCAAGCAAAACAGTGTGCGCTCAGGCCTCGCATTTGAAGATTGAGCTCTAGCTCCGGGACGTTTCTTTGTGGCCGCAGCTTGTGCAGACAAGGTAAGTGCGGCCAAGTTCAATGGTCTCCCCTGTTGGCTTGCAGCTGCGGCAGCAATCGCCGCAATTCCGGACAATCCTTGGGCCTGTGAACCAGTTGTCACACTGGATCGTTGGAGACTTTGATTTGGATCAAAGGCAGTATCGTTCTGGCCTATGCCATGTGAATCCTCTGTTGGGACAGGTCCATTAAATGCTGGTGTATGTTTATTATCATCCGATCCGTGGTATTCTCCAGAATCTAGTGCTTGACTTGGTGCTGGAGACAACATGCTCACGCGCCGGCGTTGCATGTCCACCGGATGCATACTGGCCGCAGAATCCGCAAGAAATTGTGATCGTGCGGCATCCGACCAGAAGGCTTGTGTGGGGGAGTACGGGTCATCCACATTCATTGTGACAGCAAGCCGGCCACCAAACGCAAGAGAGTATTTTGCAACCTACGTATGCATGGAATTCTGAAATGATCGATAGAAAAGCCCTGGTAAGTGGAAGTCAAGAGTTAGACTGGAGAACACTCAATATCGGAAATTATTGTGTACTTCTGAACAGCCAAGAAGAAAAGTGTGCATCCGCAACGCTTATTCGGACAGCACACTCCACAACAGCTTGCTAGAGCTTAATCCTGCCCCCTACTGCAATCTTTGAATATTCTTCCAACAGTGCATACGACCTTTCGACAACTTTCCCAACTTTGTTACTGAAAACAGTCTGGTTATTTTCCTGTAAAAGCGCTGTTTAAATAATTCCGTAAATCCGTTGTTACGCTTTCTATAGAATTCATCTTTGTTTTTGCAAGTAAGTATTTCTCCACATAACACTTCTCTGGGTTCAATGTAAACTGACAGCTTGCAGGATGGGTAGAACATCGTCAGTAGCATTACAGAAGGTATTCGCATTGTAGTCGTGATTCACTGCCGTTACACCTGCATCACAGTCACTTGCAAGAGCAACATTGACATTCCAAAATTTACAATGTAAGGAAAGTTCACTGTTCCTTGTAAGGGTTCATGAGTTTTTGAAGATAAAAGACATCAAGTCTTGTGTTATCCATCAAACAGCAGATAGTTATCATGGATCGGAGGAATACCGCACAAAACATTTGCCTCGACTGGTGATGGCTTGCACTCCTGTATTTGTGGTGTTCCGTGCTGAAAGTCTCTGCTTTCTTGCAAGTACATTGCATTTTCTACGTAGAATACCGTGGAAGGTGAGTTAATTAGTAGCATATTGTCATTGAATGTTTTGCTAGGCTGCGATTTCATCCTTATAGTACATATGACGACCCATTATAACGGCACGCTTGTCCCTCTTCAGCGATGGAGACATCCAAATACTTTCCTCACCTTCATCTTTTGTTACGTTATCAGTTCATTATTTGAGGACCAAGATTCGGCTTATTACGTCGCACAGACTACGCAGCTGAATGAGCTTTCCCCTGAATTAGCAGTGTTGCGTGAGTTTTTGTTCTTGCTTCGGAGGTACATACACTAATACTATATCGCCCTGATGTGGCTTCCATCAAAGACTATAATATACATTTTTGCCGAAATACGGGGCTTGACACTGCCCAGTTCTATGATGCGTGTTGACGGTTCAGACGGGTGAAGGGACACTCAAGCCTGGTCATCTGGCTTCACGAACAAGCGGGTCGCCTTTGTGGCATTACTGTAAATAAGACAGAAATGGTTTATGCCCTCTTATAAGCTACATCACTCTGAGACATTCACAGCCAAATTGAATCGATATTTTACTGTACTCAATAACAGTCACTGATGATCCAACCTTAGTTAGTAACAAAGCGTTTCTCAGGTAGTTGTCAGGTTAGCAGACAGATCAGTAACAACCTGATCAACCGTCGACAAACGCAACAATATGGATCTACCAGCATTCCGGTACATTTTTATGAATGCAACATAATAAGGGCTGTGAAATTGTGGTTGAGCTGCGTTACTGATGAACGCTCTTAAAGACAGGGGTAAACACAGTGTCAAGCATCCTACTCTATTGTTCTAACGAAGACGATGGAAAATACAAAATCAGGTAATTCGATTTTGTGGGTTATGATGCATTCATTAAGTCTAGGTGGAACCAAAAGTATCCTGGTCACCGCTATTATTTTGACTATTACTGGTTTGGCCTTCACTTTGGTACACCTGTTTCCAAACGCCACTGATATACGATGCAGCCCAGGTGGTACCAGGTCTCTTGCACAAGCCTCAATAAGCCATATGTAATTCTCAGCTGACCGGGTAAGCTCAACTTTATCTTCGAGCAATCTTAGTGGTTAAACAATTGCCCAATATTCCATTGCCCAATTTTAGTGGGCCACGAGGGTCCTCACTAAACTGTTGCTTAGAGTCAGGCCAGCTTTTCAAAAGAACCTTCGGTTGGTGCAGACTCTGTCTGTCTACCGGTGCTTTTTTCAATTAGAACTATGTGATTGTCACTTATTGGCCCACATAGATGTAAGCGTTTGCTAATTAGGGCTTTCAGTGATTCAGTATAATCGTCGCGGCATATGATCGGTGTTTCTGTTGATTGGACGAAAACAAAAGACATTGGCCGACAGCACCCATCCCAGTGGCTTTATTTAGGGCATCTTATTGCGCGTCGAGTGACTTTGATTCGGCTTTGATTAGTGTTGTTTTTGCGTCCATTGTGGGACACAGTCTTCTGTTGCTCTTTCTTTTATACTTATTTTCGACTCCAACACCTTTTCTGTTGAAATCAGTTGGGTGGGTTGCTGAGTTGTAGTTAACGACCCCCACTGCGTGCTTTTAAACGCCATTTATGGCTTAATGTGGTTAACGAGCGCTACCTTGCTACTTTCAACGGCCAGTACTTGTTGTTGACCCTTGAGAGCACCTTGCTTGGGGTAAGTGTTCAGAATAAAATCAAATGCAGGCTATGAAAGACTGAGTTTAAAAGCGCTCTTTCCTTCTTCCGAAGAAACAACGCAGAAACAGATTTTTCGTGGTAGTATCGGATACTTAGTGAAATTGAGACCAAACCGGCTACATGTGGGCATCAAAGACACGCTAAAAAACATCGTATTTCATGAATTATCATCAGTACTGCGAGCGGCTGAGTTTCGTGAACTGGGTGCTTGCTCCAGTGATCTCAAGAAAGAGGTGGGCAAAGACGTTAGGATACTGTGGAGTTTTTCCACCTAATTTCACTTTGAAACCAGGGAAACCGTGTCAAAACTGCTGCTTAATTTTATCCGGCCTGCCATGGACAAAAGAGTGAAGACTAATTCCCTGTGTACGAGAGGCGATAACTTTAGACCTGAACGACTTAATGGGCATGACAGGGAGAATATCACCGGAAAAAAGAAAACTGAGCTGATTTGATCCCTATCTAGAACTCGAGCGGTGAACGATTGAGCCATTGGAAACTGGGAGCTTCGAGCGGTGGCCTCCAATTATGACCACGCAAGGGCGATGACTTCGCGGGAACACTATCGCGAACTCCAAAACCCTGACTTTGAGATCGCGCCGTTGGGGATCTGCCTGACGTCAAGGATAGTAGACTTGTAGAGAAGGCCCCAGGACAGTACTGTAGTTGGTTCAGGGTTTAAAAGGCTTGTTCGAATAGTGCAACCTTTTGCCAACACTGTGACTAAGGATGGTGCGTACAAAACATAGGCAACCTAAATGAAACTAGGAACGTCGAATGGGATAAATTGGAATGCAGACGTCAAGTTTTACGACGTAAGTTGCTGTGCTCATTCGCAGTTCCGTAGCACGATCTTCACAAGTGGCTTCATGGTGATGCACTACGTATGAGGTTTGCATTATTGGTATGCGTAACATTTTTCTGTTTCTGACTTCAATATCTCCGATTTCCAGGACTTACGATACACGAACATTTACCCCGCCTATGGCGAACCACCAAGCTTCGAAAGCGCGCACAACCAATTACGAAAATGCGAGTTCAATGATGTTAGCTCAAACAAACAGCTTTAGGTCAACCGTATTATGCCCAACTTCGATTATTGGGATACATTTGAAACTGCACCGAACACCCTTACCATATTCCACCATGATCTCGTGACTTTTTGTACACCGCAATAGCGGGTTGTTGTTAGGCAATTTGCTCTAAATACGTCGATAAATCCCATGAAATCCTGGAAGAGTCGCGGCGGGTACTTTGGTGAGCAGAAAGTTAGAAGCTCCGGGAATTTGAAGTAGAAATCGTCAGAAGTAACATATGGACTCAGGGAGTTGAAAATGGGAGGGCGGCCTTAGTAATCACACTCATTTTGATCGATAGCATCGGTTTGTTGGCGTTGCTTCACGCTTACATGCGGCCCCCTCGAACCCGAATGTCCTCTCCGGCATCACTGCTGCATTTTTTTGTGATTCGCTTGGCACTCGAATCCCGCTGCGTGGCACCAATTCTTTTCTTCTCGGCGTGTGTACTGTCACGCCATGAGGCAACCGGAAGATCACCGATCTCTCAAAACGACACTTGAATATCTGTCCTCCAGCTACCACTTCATACATAACTTGCTGGTAGGTGATTTTAGCTCTCCAAAGGCTTCCCTCACGGAACTCTGGCGCGTTGAGTCCGGTGTAAGTTTCGCATCAGCGTTGATCAAACATATTCAAAAGAATGCTTGGACTCAACAAATCATATCACCCAACAGATACCGCGCACGCCAAATATCAGCCTCCCGCATTTGGTTAACTACTAACGAAGATACTAAGTTGGTCAGGTGTTCATTGAAGTTTAAATGCGAAGTAGTTACCACTGGGCAAAGCAAGCTTTAGGAACTCGTCTGCGTTCCCCTTGAGGGACAGGAAGATGAAATTCACCAAGGACTCAGTAGCGGTGTTCGAGGTCTACAGAGAACGCTATGCGGTTCTAAATTCAGCCCCAGCGTCCTCGTCACATCCAATCTTGTCATTGCCTAGCTCCAAACGGCCTTTAACTGACTTGGTCTCCACGGTGGAGGACGTTCGTCGACTCTTGCACAAGATCAACCCACTCTGCGCGTTGGGGCCCGGCGGAGTCCATTCAAGGATCCTGAAGGAAATGACGTTTACACTAGCAAATTATTTCGACCCGGTGCTTCCTCAGTCGCTTGACAAAAGCCGTCTTCCCCCTGCTTAGAAGTAGGAGATTGTCTGCAAAGCCGGCGAGCCACTAGCGCCTGGTAGCTACAGGCCTATAAGCCTCACTGGTGTGTTGTGCAACGTGATGGGACGCATTCTCAAGCGAGTCATTCTAGATCACCTTCCTTCCAACAACTTGATATCTCTAGCTCAACACAAAAGCATTTGATCGGGTCCCACACGTCCCGCCGCTCCACAATCTCGAGTCTTACGGGATTCAACAAAACATCCTACACTAGATCAAGGCGTTCCTATTAGACAAACCATTCTGAGTGTAAGTAGACTCAATCCGCTCTTCTCTAGCGCCGGTCTTCATTGGAGCTCGTCAGGACCCCATTCCAGGACCACTGCTGTTTCTAATATACATCAACGACTTTCCAGATGTTCTTCAAAGTCCATGTCTACTTTTTGTGGATGATTTGAAATATCAGGGGTCTAATGGCGGTGCCCTCCAAATGGATGTAGGCGCCGCAAAGCAGTTGTCGTTGGACTGGCGCTTTCCTCTGAATGACGTAAAGTGCGTCCGCATGTCATTTGGAGGGGACTCGGTGAATGCCTTTGTCATGCATGGTGAGAAAGGATCAGAAGGCACCACGAGGATGGATGCCGAAAGGGATTTGGGTAGCTGGCTCTTTCCAAACATGTACTCACTGCACCTGAGAAATCGGCCCAGAAGGCATTCGCCATTTTGCGGATGATCCGGTGCATCTTTTCCCATATTTCTCGCATGAACTTACATTACTCTTTGGAACCCATGTCGGGCCGTTCTTGGAGTGTGCGAACAAGGCTGTCTACTCCGAACGCACGAATGACGTAACTCTTTTCGAGCGTGTGAAGTCGGTTGCTAGAAAAATAGTTGCTGGCCTTAACTCCGTGGACTAGGAAACGCCTCTCGCAATGCTGACCCACTTTCGCCACCGAGGGAAATTAATACCTGCCTGTGGCTTGTTTGCGCAAGGTTTGGCCAACAGGGTTTTTGTTACCGTCTTAACTATCACTGAGCGAGTACGTGGTAGGAAGATTTCCAAGCTCTGACCACACGCTTTTCGTGGCTAACTTTCTGATTTCGAGTAGTTGCTTCACACATTCGCCTTCTTCCGACGTCTGGTGATGCTGCATTTTTCACCCAAGTTAAAGCACTC